CAGACAAAAGAAGAAGAAGAAGATGATGAAGAAGACATTTAAAATATTTTATTGACAATTGATGTCAAACCGTAAACACACAGCTATATCAGAATCTAGTGCTCCTCATGAGCCAACTGCTGTTCGGTGTTAATGATCCAGTGAAAACAAAACTCCAGCCTCAGTATGGCTGTTACACTCTGCCACCTCGGGATCAAATAACACTTGTTTTCAAGTTACATTGTCAAGAAAAAAGGTAATAAGTTCATGTAGGAACTGTGCAAACTACAGATCTCTGCCAGCCACAGTAAGAAGAAGATTTTTGATTTTTAAAATAACACAGGAAAAAGGAGGATAAAGAAGGATAACGATGCCAATGGATTTTTTTATAAAGGTCTCAAGACGAGACGTGTCATATTATTATTAGTAGTAGTAGTAGTAGTAGTGTGCAATAAATCATCTTGAAAAGCAGCAAAAACAATAATGATTTACTTGCTAAAATATAAGCCTTTACATGTCACTTAAGTTCAGTGTCAGAGCCCCAAAGAATGTGATTGTTTTGGATGAGAAACATTTCTGAGTTGAATTATTTTGGTAGGTTTATCCCACTGATGCTCTTTTAGTCACTAACACATGTCAATATTCTAGTGACAATTTAAAATTTAGTAACATAAAAAGTAAGTATAAACTTTAGGAGTAATTTGAATGTACCCACTGATTAATGAAATGATCGTTACTTTGCCACTTCCAGAAACAAAAATGTTTCCCTTGAGCCTCTATTTATTTTGAGTCATTACAGTTGGGATGTTTGTGCTTGTGGAAAATCGTTCTTGTGTCTCCACATTACAATGGAATAATTTAACAGCACAGCATTGGCTTTACAGATGACAGAGTTACTACGCATACTACTGTATCTCATTGTATTAGTGCGTCTCTCTCTCTCTCTCTCTCTCTCTCTCTCTCTATCTATCTATCTCTCTCTCTCTTGCTCTCATTCTGTGTGTGCCTGTGTAATTTCATATTCCTGATGTTTCAGAAATGTCACTCCAGTGGTATGAGAGACATTCACTATAACTTAAATCATCAGATTTTAGGGAGTTGATTTGTTACATTGTTAAGAGTTATGGGTCTGTGAAATAAATGAGAGAGACAGAGAGAGAGAGTGTGTATTTTATTATCAGTGGATTTATGATAGATTATTGTAATTAACAACTTGCCAACAAAGTTTGTTGGAATTTGAAGCTATTATTTTCCTACTAACTAAACTAACTTTATCACTTAAAAAAAATCAAACTCTTATTTTTTAACTATTTTTTAACTATAGTGCAATCTCTCGTAATCACATTAATGTGCAAGTCACAAATCAAGATAATTAAACAATAAGTCTGTAATTATTATTTTAGCAGTAGGTTTAATACTTCAACCGTTTGAGGTAATTTGTAGCTACAGTTAAAATGTCACTGGTGGAGATTACACAGTACAATCCCACTTTAAAACTTAAAACTCACTGAGCTCTGCTCATCAGTAAGCATTCCAATCCAAGGAATTTTAGCTGCAGCCATCTTGTATATTTTTATAATTTTTAATGCTTTGTTCTTGACTACCTGCTCTCACACACACACATATATATACTGTATATATACGTTATTGCACAGATTTACCAACATAATATACACCCATATTAGCTGCATAATTAATGATGGACCTGAATCTTCCTTCCTTCATCCTACTGACTAATACATAACAGTTGTTACATTTTCCACACATGTTCTCAGTGTTATGGGGGGTGTACATGACCTTCCTCTGATAACTGATAACTAACACCTACTGTATGCCGTCATGTTGCCATCACCCATATATTCATTAAGAAAGTCTTGTAAGACACCTGCACTAACCCATTGATCAACAGTCTCTCCCATTTAAACACAGTTTTGCAAAAATAATTACGTACAGGACATTTAGGAAGAATCAATTTTGTAGAGGTTTATGGTCAGGAACACCAGTTTCAGACATGTAGTGTATATAAAATCCACAGCTGCTCCATCTCTAATTATAAATACCATTTTGGCTGCAATACCACTGCTGGACAGCAGGGAAGCTTTTATTCTTTGCATTGGTTTTCCAAGTCCTGTTTCAGTGTTAAACCCCAGATTTGGTCCCAAATTAGTTTCTATGCACATGATATCAATAAATGATGATCACATTTATAGGAAAATGGACGATGAAGTCCAGTAGTTGGCAGTGCACTTGAGTCAACAGAATGTGTGACAGCTCTGCACTCAAGCCTGGCTACAGGCGACAACAGTGAACAGTTACTGCCAAACATGGCTTTTTCTTCTTTCTTTTTTTTTTTTTTGCGTGTCTGGACATTTTTTTACAACTGGTTGACTACAGCTATTTTTGACATACAGTCTGTGACTCCCACGCAGCCAGATGGATCTTTTCCTCTGTGTCTCCTCTGAGTGCATTAGTGCCAAGACTGGCATAAAGCTTGACTGGTCAGACATGGAAAGACTTTCCGACTTTCTGACTTCAAAACCTTTTTTAGCGTTTCAAGTGTTTTGAATAGACATATAACAGACTGTAAAACTTGTATTTGTTTGATAGTTCACATTTAATGACAGGTTTGGTTCAATACAATATTTTCAAAAATCTTCTCTTATCTTTTACTTACCTGGGGAACTATAATTTTTGCACTTTTCTTTTCATGCAGAGACTTGGATCACTGTGATCTGTCTAAAACTATGTTGGCACAGTAAATCTATTTCTGCGTCTAAGTCCTCTGGCCTTGAGGTGATCATGCATAAAATTATCACTGCTAAAACTGCTCTCAGTGGTTATCCTTCAAGAACCTCTAATTCCTCTGGATTTTATTCAAGCTAAATTCCTCCAAAAGGTCAGGAATAACTCTTATCACTTCTAACTCCAAATTATTCCAGCCATATAATGACATTGATGAATATTTAAAACACTGTTTTTTCAGCCCTCCTTCTTCATCCTCTGCTTTTTAAAGGCCGTTGGATTTTTTAAGCTTTACTGAACTGTTTGGAAATTATTGCTAAATCAAATCTTAAATTTAATTCCCAAAGCTAGATTTGATTTTAAAAATAGCTGCAGACTATTCCGTTTCAAGAAGACAGTATCAACCACCTTTGGCTCTGCCTACATCTCCTGAGAGCAAACGAGCCACCGCAAAACTGCAGTTCGAATATGACATATGCAACTTTTCCGTCAACTTTATGACTCATCACTTAATGAATAAGGATGGAAGGAATTTTTCATTAAATTAATGCATAATTAAATTACCACCTCTGGCAAACTAGACCTGCTTAGATTCACAGTGATGCATACTGTATCTGCATACTGTATGGAGCTCCAAAATGCTCCATAAACTCACGCCTCTGTTTACGGGCTTCACATGTACGACACACACTCAGAAAGGCACTTTGCAGCATGTTTTAGGACATA